TAATTTTTAAATTATTTTTATATATTCTTTTTCGTTGTCACCGGTTAATGCAGTAATCCACCGCACTTGTGAAACTTACAATTAGAAAACACCACTTGTGCGCTGCTAAAGCCTTCAGATAGGAGCTAAGCGTTGGGGCAAGAGCCAGTTGTGGCACATTAGTTATACGTTACCCGTTTTTATGCAGTTAATATGATTTTTAGTGCTTTTTTCGTTTGCTAATTACACACTTTCATTCATTTACATGCTTTGCGAATTGTTTGTAATTTTACAAGTTTTTTTCCGCGGCCCGGTATACCGACTTATACACCCGCGTACGCATATTCAACACATACATATGTAGCAAAAAAACGACAAACGACACGCACACACACTAGAATGTATGAAATATATTTTTGTATACACTTGTATATATTTCTTGAAAGCACTTTATAACACTGAACACCAGAGTTAACACCAAAAGCCAAGCGACCGACGGTAGTGAATGATGTGCGACGCCAACCCACCAATTTAGCAGGAAGCACTCGTACGTACGGTGCAAAGTCGCGAGCAAACTGATTTTCCATTTTTGCATTACATTGCGATAGACACACGGCAGGCAACCGCAGCGCAGCAAGAGTAGCGAGTCGCCGCGCTATTCGTACGCAATCGGCAGTCAGGCAGCATCAGCAGCTAGCCAAAACGATGTCTAACTAGTCGCTGGGAGACCCCAGCATGCAGCATCCAGTGAGCGCAATGTATCAATAAACACTCACCCACACTGTCGTGTGTTTACTGACAACCTGAAGAATATTGAAGGCACACGAAAGTGGCGCTTTGTGAGATGCTCCTCTAGCGAAGCTGCAAACCGAACGATAGTCGGCGTTACTAGAAAGGCGATGAAGCGCTTCGACACTCACTGGAATTTAACATTCCACGTTCATTTCACAGCAAGCGCTGTAATGTGCCTTCGATAGGTGCGCGGTGTGGTGAAGCAATTGTTTGCGCGCGCTCACGAGCACGCAGCACTCCGCGTTTCGCTTTTGCTCATTGTATTTTTGCAGAAAACAACTTTCCAGGTCGACACACATACGCCGCACGAAAGCTAGACAAGAAAGCAACAATTAGCTGTGCAAAAGCATTGAGCGCGTAGCATCACGGTGCGTGTGCGGCGCTCTGCTGCTTTCGCACGGGCAGTGCGTGTATGGACAGCGAGCGCTATGAAAGTATAACACTCTCCCGCGCGCTAGCAGCCTAGATAAACTGGAAATCGTGCGGTGCACCAGTGTTGCCGGTTTCTCGGTTATGCAGACTAAAAATTTTTGCTTTTTACGAGCAACGGAAGGTTTCCGTATTTCTATGGAACGTACTTATTTAAACTGAGCTGAGAGGATTATAAAGTCAGCGGGGTTATATGCGGTTTCTACAAAGTTTCTTCTGCTATCTGCGTGCGGCGTCTAGAAGTTGTCCCATATACAAAAAATGACAGAAATGCAGTTGAAGGAAAACATTTGGAAGATGTCATGTCACCGGTATTCACTTTTTCGAAAGCGCCGCGATAAACATATTGCCTCCAAACGCAAACTTTTGACAAAACTGCGATTTATTTCTTAATATAATATTATATAATATCCCTTCAGTTTGATTCTTGACTGGACAATACTATAAATTCTCTCACCCTGAAACTGAAAAATACGTTTTCAGGAGGTTTACATAGCAGAGCTGTAGAAATCCCCTCATTGGACTTAAATTTTTCTCCGTTTTCATATTTTTATACAAAAATAAGTCGCATCGGAGCAAATCTGGAGAATACGAGGATTTACTTAGTTGTAAGCCAAGCGGTGTCATAGTGGAAGAGAACTTTTTTCTTCGTCAACTGGTCCATAGGACAATCTTCGCTTCCTTCGGAACAAGTTTACTTTCATTGTTTCGACTTTTCCTTGATTTACAATGGTGTGTATCAGTGGATCCAATTGGAGATTCCAAGCGAAGCCTGGTGCTTCTCCACATGGCCTCTCCAACGGAGTGGAGGTCTTCCTCTTCCCCTGCTTCCCCTGGCGGGTATGGTGTCGAATACTTTTAGAGCCGGAGTATTTTCATCCTTACGTTCGACACGATCTAGCCTGGGCAGCCGCTTTCTCTTGATTCACTGAACTATGTGAATGTCGTCGTATATCTCATAAAGCTCATCGTTGCATCGAATGCGATATTGGCGATGGCCAACGCGTAAAGAACTAAAGTCTTCGCAGACCGCTGGATCCTTGCTCTTAATACGACCACTGTCTTAACTGGTCTTTTTAATAGTAAATTGGCGTAAAAAGAGGTAGTAAATATAAATCGTCTCCCATCCGAGCCGAAACCCAGCGCCCAACCGTGGGGAGGTATGGTTCGCCTTCTCACTTTAGCTCTCCTTCAAACGGATGTTMTTTGGCTACCCAGAGAATACTTGGTCTAAAACTGGAAGTCATGAGCTGCTTGAGCCATACATGAAAAATCGTTTCTAGTCACTCCCAAGTGAATGCGCGTGAACTTCCACACATAGCTCCATCTTCCTGCTTTAACCTCGTAATCGATGTATACGTTAATAAAGAAGAGGAAGATGAGTCGTATAAAATCGGAATGAGTTGTTAAGTTAGATTACGAGATACAATATCTCAATTTAGAAATATCAAACCAATATTATATTAATAACTTTCCGAATAATAAATTTTATTTATATGTAAACACAAAAACTTTTCGCTGGCAACATCGGCGCATGCAAAATTGAAGCGTGGGAGAGAGTATTAAGAGAGCAAATAGCGAAAGCAGACCTACAACAATATATTTTTCTACATTTAATAGAGAAGTGTTGACGTTTCACATTCACTTATTTCGCCTGCCTGTTGTTGTTGTAACACGTTCATAAGTGGGCCATTTCTTGAGCGCTCGAACAACTATAGACAGTCACCAGATGCCAGCAACCAAATAAATTCCTGGCAAAGCTGTCGCAGCTGCTGCTTTTTGAGCTGCTGCAAGTTGTCAACATACTCACACACACCTACTCACATAATTTCAGACTTACTCACATACTTTCACACATACTCACACACATTCACACATATAATTGTACTCACTTACGCTTGCTTCTTCTAAAACATCACACTCCTGTTTTGACTACTGTTTCTATTTTTCCTTCGCATTTCGCATCTTTCTATTACAATGCCAACAATATGTATGAACGTAATGTCACCCAGCGTTGTTGTGCGGCAACGGTAAAAGGTGATTAACCCTTATTTGATGGCTGTGAAAAATGATGGCTGAATAAACCGGAAATTCCGGTCACCGGGTGGTTGGTGATAACGGTAACAAAACATTTGTATCTGTCTGTAATTATACTTGGTCAACTTGTCAAATTACAATAACAACAAGTGCAGAAAAAATAACCGTAATAACTGTATTCAAAAGAATTGTAGCACAGCAGACCGAATGAATGCATGATTGTCTCCTATGGGAGTCGGGGCCAAGCTGGTCACTATTGTTAGGCTTTATTTCATGTTAAGCTAATTGGGTGATGTTTACAAAGGAAATTGTATGCAATTGCACTGTAAAAAATTATTTGAGTATTTTATTTTTATAGAATTTTATTTTTTAGGGTTATATTTTAATAATTTTTCAATAATTTTTTCTAGTAATTTAAGAATTTTTGTTTATTTTCATTACAGCAATTGATTAAAACTCAACAATACTGGGAAGTGAAGCATTATTTACAAATAAATATATACAACCTTTAAGCAAAGTGAATTTAAATAATGTTCCCAGTTTCATGTGTCCTATACCTTTAAGTACGTCAACATCTGCTTCTAAAGTAGTTAAAACGAAACGAAGTGCAGACGAACTTAACTTTTTACTACCATGTAGTCCGTTTTGTATTATAAGTATTACGAGGGGACGAAGCACAAGGGACCGAAGTTGTAATGTTATGAAGTTTTGCATCAAATTCGGAGCATTCTTTATTTTAGTAAGAGCTATTTGACTTTAAATCTGGTGCAGTCTGCCGTCCATTCGTTGGCCCTTTCTTAAATAGAAAATTTCACCTTGCCGCAAAACCTGATTTCGATTCCACATTCCAATCCAGGCGTTTAAGACTTACCCTTTGGTAAAAAGCTTTTCACGAAATCTCTTAAACAATCGGAAGTGGGATAAAAATTAACTAAAAGTAGTCGAAATCAAGGTAATTATCAAATGCTCAGAGCGGTGTAGGTAAACGTATCTTGAGCTGCCCACTCATATGGCTATATTGTTTTAGCAGTTCTAGTATATTTTACTTTACATATACTGAACGTAGATGGATTGTGTTCAGGGGCAAACGAACTGTGACTCCGCCTGGTTTTCAGTGGCAGCCCTTGGTTCTCAGTAGCTCACCTTGGTTCTCCTTAGATCTCAGTGGCTCACCTAGAATCTCACTAGTTCTCAGCGACTCTCAATAGTTCTCTGCAGTTCTCATTGGTATTTCCTAGTCCTTAGTAGCTTTTTCCGGTTCTCACTTTCATCCTGATTCTCAGTGGATCTTCCCGGTTCTTGGTGGGCTATTCCTAGTTACTATATTTGTTATTAGTCCCAGTTTTCGCTTTTTCTGCATGTCTCTCAGTGGCTCTACCTGACTTTGCCTGTTTCTTAGCAACCGTCTCTATCTCTCAATGGCTTCCCTTGGTTTTCAATGGCTATTTGTAGCTCCCCTTGGTACTCAATTGCTCTCTACGCTTCTCTTTGGTATTTCTCTGTTCGCTCTGATTATTCCTAGTTCTCAGTAGTTCTTCCCGATTATCACTGTTTCTTAGCGGCTTACCCTGATCCTCAGTCTCCCTTTAACGGCTCATATGGGCCCTTTCTGTTTTTCAATTGTTTTCAGTTGCTCTCTTGGTTTTTACTAGTTATCAGTTCCTGTTTCCGTTTGTTCTGCATGGCTCTCATTAGCACTACCCGACTCTGGCTAATTATCAGTGGCTTTCCACGGCTCTCTTCTCACCGATTCTTTCTGGTTCTCACTGTCTTTCTCTACTTTCTCTACTTTTTCTGGTTGCGACTGATTTCTAAAGGCTTTTTCTGGTTCTTCCCAACTCAATACGATTCTTCCTAGTTTAAACTTTTAGACAGTGGTTCTCATTGGCTCTTTCTCTCGTCTGACTATTTTTCAGTGAATCTTCATCCTTCACACTAGTGCTCAGTGGCTCACCCTGATTCTTCCCACTTAAACATAATACTTTCTCTATTTTCAATCTAATTTTCTAAATAATTTATAACTCTCCAATTTGCTCATTATCAGGTATGGTCTGTGGGGGACAATATAATTAATAGCTTCTTTCAAGTAGTCACCTCGAATTTATTTTCAAAATTTCTCATCCCATAACTTAGCAGAGGACGTCTTGTACAGCTCAGAGAGACATGCCATAAAAGAGCGATCTATCGAATTATCCCTCGCTCAGACTGGAACCCCTTATTTTTTTCGAACAATCAAACCACTTATTTGTTTATGAGAAATATTTTTTGTTTATATTTTTTATTCTTTTTGTTCTTTATTTATCAATTTTCATTTAAGGAATAATATCATTTTTCAATAGTATACAGTTTAGCTTAATGCCTATATTCGCAAATAAATAATATCGATTTCTTGTTTTTTGGTTTAAATTACATAATTGCTTCGAAAAAACTAAATGTAGAGTTCTCAAGAACAACATAATAACGAATGAACAACAAGTAAAACATACATATGTACATTTACATATATGTATAGTATGTATTTATGTATAGTATTTAGTAAATGTTTTTTTGTATGTACGTATGCATAGATAAAGTACAATTTTAGAAAATTGCTAGAAAAACTTAACAAATTTATCGTAAAACGCTTACGCACTCCGAAAGCTTAAATTATTATTACGCGTAGTTTGGATTTTTTGTTGTTTTATTTTATATTTTTTATTTTGTTTTCTTTTTTTTATTTGTTTAGTTGCTTAAATTTTAATTACAGTAGATTTAGATGTGTGTATTTTCTATAGTTCGCTTAAAATTTTTATTGCAATTGATTTTCTAAGCACGCATTTCAATTAATTTTTAATATATATTTTGTTACTTATTTAATTTTATATCAATTAATCAATTTGCTAGTTGGTATTGCTTTAATTTTTTGGTTTTTATGTAAGTTTTTAT